CCCCCCCCCCCCCCCCCGCGGCAAATAATGAACGGCCCTTATTCTGTATTTTTATTGAATAAATAATTAGTAACGGTAACATGACCGAGAGAAAGTCCAATTCGGTCTGTAATCACACGAGTGATAAACGAAATTGGACGATCACGAAGCGGGAGTCCGATTTGTCAATCACGGACAGAATTGGAGGATAGGAAGTCCTGTTACCGATTAATTAAAACTATGACATAATTTGAGAAAGAAGCTAGACATCGGTCATGCGTTCTCATTAAAAAAACAACAACAATTAACTCCAAGAAATGCAAGACAGCAGCGCGCGCACATGACGAGTTCTGTCCACTTATCACTTACACAGGCATAATGTGTTAACTGTTCCTTGAACTGTCCTATTGCACTGTCCAATTACAGGCATGATGCGTACACTGTCCTATTAGTGCTCAAATCTGGCTGGTGATAACCAATCGCGTTCAAGAATTTTGTTATACTTCTAATGAATTAATTTATTGCTACTGACTCAGATGTAAGAATTTGTGGTGTGGAAGTTCCTCTCAGGTCTGCAAAATTGCAAGCATAAGTGTTAAAAGGTTTCTCTTAAAGTCCATTGTTTAGCGTAACCACTTATTATTTGACTGTTTTTAGAATAAAATGAAACCGTGTACGCCTCAGTTTTGCCCATTTGTGTTAATCTGCCACAACATATTTTCATCAACGCCACGATAGTATCTCGTTGAAATTAAAACTTCTATTGTAACTAGGGATCCAATGTAAATCTTCCCTTCAATGTGACCTAATGTGACAGTCTCCTCTTGCATTAGGTAAGCTGGTGTGGTGATTTTCCCTAAGATTGCGTGACTGAGTGCGACAAGCGTTTTACTGTGATCAACCTTCTTAAGATTGCGTGACATCGTGAGACAAACTACCCGACATTTTTGAGACTTACCAATGTAAGAGCCGTTGTATACAGCTATTATCTATACAATGAACTGTGCAATAAGAAAAAATCTAATCTGATTACGATAAAGTTAAAAAAAATTAAAAATCTGAATTAAATATCTATACAACATCCTAACGTACTCATAATATCTTAAAGTTAATAAGAAATTCTATGTCAAAATCATTATCCTAAAACGAAAGCCAGCAGGAGGTCTGCGAGGGGCCTGGCACTGATAAGCCAGCCAGGCCCCCAGCAAACCTCTTCCCAACTCGTCAGGGAACATTTAAATGAGAGAGTGGGGGAGGTCAATGAAAGTTGTAGAGAAAAATTCAAAAAATAGAACAGCGTGTCAGGACTTTCGCCACGCACTGTAAGTAAGAGTCTCCGTCAGCGCAGCGGTGAAACGTCTGTGCATGTGCGAGCGCTCTAAAACCTAAGTTTTATAATTGGTGGCGTTTTCAGGCTGTCTCAAAAGAATTACAAAAAGCCACACAAGTCAATAAGTCACGGTATTTTAAAAAACCTCTAAGTTTCTGGTAAAACCCGTGCGAAAATAAGATTTGTCTTCGAAAATTTTCGAGTTTTCCTTTCCCATAATTTTTTTTCTTTTATGAACATTTTAATTTTGTTTCGCTTACTTTGTAAGACAGTAGTTGTTTCCCACGTTTTCCTCTAAAATTTAGCGCGGGAAAATGGCGCATAGCCAGCCGGAATTGATTCCTTCTTTGGCACATGCACTACGTTTGACCTACAGAATTGATTCCTAGCAAAAGCAAAACGTTTGACCGCTGTGTTGCTCACGGCCGGTCAGAATTGATCTCTCGCGCATGCACGACGTCCGACCGCTGTGTTGTCTCCATCTCACATGCGTCACTATTTAATCAAAGTCAGAAGAAACGTAACCGTCTCCGACATCTTCTGTTGGCAGATAGGAGTATGAGTAGCTGGCATACTCATTATCCACTGTCAATACATGCGTATACGCACTGAAAGAACAAAATACGACGAACCAAGTTGGTCACTTGGGGATTATAAAAGAAAGTCTAACTTATTTGCAAGACTGTCCATGACCAATTGACAAACACGAACAAACGAGCTAGGGGCGGAAACAGGAATTTTTTGTTAGGGAGGGGGAGGTGCGGAGGTCCGGAGGTCTAGGGTCTGTAGGTCTTAACCTCAGGCCCCAGGCCCCACCCCTTGATCATCACTTAGTGGTAACGAACAATCGTTAGTGCATATGAGGAAACTTTTCAAATGGCACAGCCATTGTAACAGCGGGCCTATGAACAAAAATATAACCACAGTAGACGGAACAAAAGAAATCCAACTATCTTCAAAGATTAAAATACCCATAAAAAGCACTAAATACCTCTCCCCTTCTGTTTTAGTTTTGATAACTCGCTTTGCCCCGAAAAACAGCGATTGAATGTCAAAAGTGATCCTAGATTGCGTTAGTTTTACTTCTCTTTGCTCGTTGATTAGTAATGGTAATTGAACTGAGTGGAGTGCAATTTGGGCTGAAATCATACGCGTGATTTCAAAATCGATCAAGCGCACAGCGCGAGTTCGATTTGAAATCACAAGTATGATTTCAGACCAAAATTGCACGACACGAGGTTCAATTACCACTTTATGACATCCATTTTGAAATCGCCCAAATACAGGACTTGGTCACTTCAAATATTTTATTGATGCAGTACTGAGCTGGTTTGAAATTAAATTCATCCATTTTTGGAGGGGAAAAAGTGAGAGTTTTGGAAACAAAAGTAGCAAAATTTGCCATACGATACTCTTTGTCTTTCATT